CACGGTCTCTCTCCTCCCTGCCCGCCAGGATTCCGTGCCGGGCACAACAGCCCTCGGCAGCAGCTCTGCGGAGCTGCCGGAGCCGCCGGCGCCTTTTCCCAAGGGTTTTAAAGGGCGGCTTGGTGGTTCGGCCCAGGGTTTTCCCGGTTTCTGCGGGGGTTGCCAGCCCGGAGCGCTCGCTCTGCAGCCATGGCCCCCGCGCTGCCCCCGGGCTCCTGCTTTGCAGCTGCAGAGAGGCCCGGGGCGGTCGCTGTGATTTACTCCTGCGTGTTAATACAATTAGCAGCTGCTCCTGGTGAATCCAGGCGCACAGGAGATGAGATCCCAAGCTGCGGTGGCTGCCAGCGGGTGCCAGAGGCCGGTTGTCCTCTCCCTGCTCCAGCTGCAAACCCCCAGGGCTCCACCATGGAGCCCATCCATTTCCACCACAGATTTCCCCATGGAAAACCACAACCAATGCCGAGCCCCTCTGTAGATAGGAAATAGGCAGGAAAAGTCCTGGGAGTGGAAGCAGTGCTCAGCAGCAGCAGCTATAAAAGGGATTTTCCTTAAGTTTTAAGGGTTTTCCTTAACCCTTCTTTTTTCTGCTGTGGTCCAGAGAGCTGGTCTACTGTGGGCATGGTGTAAAAGCAGAAGAAAAGTGAAGCATTCTCACAGGAGCAGCATGAGAAGATGCCCATAAATACAGCCACGTAGCAGGTTTGCAAGCAGCCATGCAAGTTTTATCGCGTGTCTCTGACGTGAGGTGTCTAGGAAGCCAGAAATGCTAAGTGGCTTTAAAAAGCTTAATTAGCCCAATGAATGGAAGGAGCTGTAACGAAGATCCTGTTGAGGATGGTGCATGACTTGCAGCCTAAGCAGCCCCTGACGAGCACATTGCTCAAAGCTCACAGGGTCTTTGGGTTTCTCCTGCATCCCGATGTGCCCTGCCATGCTCAGCGCATCCTGGGAATCCCAAAGTGAGGCCTTTGCACCCGCCTTCCCATTCCAGGGACGCTGCAAGTGCTCATCCCCTCCATGCAGGGGCATCCCTGGGGCATCCTTTCTGCAGGTGAAACTTTGCATTTGCTTTGGGATCGCTAGTTCTCTATTTAATTTATCAATTTAATTGCACTGTCAAAACAGGAAGTGGCAGGTGTGGATTTTGTGCATGAGCCCGTTCTGCTCCTGAGGCTCTGCTGGGCAATGCAGATGAGATGGGGCAGTGGGAAGGGATTTGTCTTTCTGCAAAGCTTAGACACTCAGAGATGAATATTAGCTTTAAAGTAAGTGGCCTTGAGCAGAAATAAATAGCCCAGCGTGGTGCAGGCCGGGGCAGGCACGGCTCCAGCATGCAGACGATCGCTCAGCTCTGATGCTGGACGGGCTCGTCAAGAGGCAGCCTGACCTTTCAGAGGCTGCTCAATGTCACGTTGGAGCATCAAACGTGCCGCGTTGCGCCGCGTCTCGGACCTTTCCCTAATGAGAGCAAGAACTCATTCGATTAGCCAAGATTTCCTGCGGAGAAAAGGTCAGCAGTATTTCCATCTTCCCCGGGTCCCGGACAACCAGCTTGTCCACCAAATTAGATCTGCCACTGGGAATTAATTCCTGTTGCCCAGGCGAGCTTGTTGGTGAGGCCGGGTTTTGAGTCCAGGTGGTGTCGTTAGGGTTGTCACCTACCTGATAAACTCCAGTTTGAGGCTGATTGCTCTCTGGGGCTCCTCGACATCATCGTGGTGCTGGAAAGAGCAAGTGTAACCACTGAAAAGATGATCCTTGGTGTTACCAAGCAGCAGGTACTGCTGTCTCCACACACGACTCAAATTATCCGGCTCTGATCCAGGCTCCGTTTGCCCCAAGGATTGATGGTGCCCAGTCGATGAGGTTGGTGTTTCTGCACAGTGCACGTGTTTCTCTGCACTGTGT